CTGGAGCGACCAAGATCGCATGTGCACTGTGTGTGTGTGTGTTGTGTGTGTGTGTGTGTCCTTTCTGCTCATGTGAAAAACTGCATGTCCTACCTCGTGTAAGACCCAGCGTCCTCCTCTGCCGCCGCGCTCGTTTGTTGTCATGTCCTGGAATTTACTCTGCTGTTGTAATGTTGTTCACATTTTTACACGTGACCCACGCCTTCTCTCAGGGCCATATGGAGAGGGGGAGAGAGAGAAAGGGAGTAAAGAGAGAAAGGAAAGTCTGACCATAAAGAATTAACGAAGGCATAACAAGAGAAAAAAGCTGTTTGTGGGGGAGGGGAAAAAGAGGCTGAAGTCAGAGGAGAAAAAAGGGAAGGGGGCATGTGAGAGGTGAGGATTAGAGGAGAGCCGTGCTGCCTGATATTCACATGTTTCTCTTTTTTTTTTTCCCCCCCTCTCTCTCTCAGCTGATGTGTGTCTTTCAGTGCGAGTATACAGACGGATTACCTTATGCAAACACCGGGCCTTTGCTTTGAATAGGCAACACAGATACTCGCAGCTAATGTTTTCCTTATCAGGGGCTCCTCCAGCCAATCGCACACTGTACGGGAGAGTGACTCGGAAAGCAACAGGCCATTCATTTATCATGGCGAGGCTCCATTGTGCCCATGTGCGTGTGCGTGCTCACATTACAATGGGCCTAAACTATGTGTGACCCTCTCTCATTTCCTACCATTTAAGTCGTGTTTTTGGGAGGGCACCTCAGCCGCCCGATCCGAACCTCCACCTATGCGACTGCGGCAGGGTGGGACCAGATCCAACGAGGCATAGGCTGGTACCAAATATTCGGGGTACGATTGCCAGGGCCAAAAATATCTTGGTAAACAGTGTTATCGGTGTTTTGAAAGTTAGAAAAAAGGCTGTTGGTGCCAAAATGTAGTGGGGTTACGTAACAGTATGTTTGGCTTTTTACCTTTCTCCTCTATTTTTCTTTTACTTTTCTCCTCATTTCATGCCCAGAAGATTTTTAAGTGCACCCTGACCTTGATCTTTGACCAAAATGCTGCTTTTTTCCCTTCTTGTACTGATTATAATGTGTATGTGTAGCCGGACTGCAGGAAGTGTGAAGTTGTAAATACTGGCTTCTTGCTGCCGTGGTCGGTCTGTCACTGTCACAGACGAGCTGGATTTTCTGGCCTTGTGGCTGTTATTCTGAGTGTCAGCATGTGACATGTGTTCATCAGATGGGTGAGCGGCTTCTCCCATATGGCGATGCAAAATAAAGATGGGTTGCGAAGACAGCAGCCCCGCACGACTCTGTGTTCGCGGTAACATCTGAAAAAGCTGGGAATCACAGCAGAAGAAGTTGCCAGCGACGCTGCTTCCAAGTGTTTTTATTTTCTCACAGTTAGCTCTGTAATTAGAGTTCATTCATATATGTGCCACATAACACTTTGTTTTCTTAGTGAATATATATAGTTATAGATTGATTGGGTTTTGTTTTGTTGACTAAATTGTAATTTATATTTATTTTCTTGATTAATCGGTTAATCATTTTGGTCTGTAAAATGTCAGTAGAGCTCATGGTAGCTTTTTAAAATGTCTTGTTTGATCCAAAGAACAGTTTAAAACCCAAAGACTTTCAGGTTATTATCATACAAGAGTATGAAAATCTGAAAATATTCACATTTGAGAGGTGGGAACCATGGATTTTTTTGCCTTTCTTGCTTAAAAGAAATCTTAAAATGACGAAAAATAATGAATGAATTAATCTTGTTCTTGTTCAAGTCATTCTTTAAGCAAAAAGCCAAAGAATTCAGCTTTTGGCTTTGGACTGTTGAACAGAACAAAACATTTAAAGATGTCACCTTAGGCTTTAGGAAGTTATGATTGAATGTAAGAAATTTAGATTTTTCACAACTTTCTGACATTTTAAATACCAAACAGCTCAGCAGATGAATTGATCATGAAATTTAGCACAAGCACAAGTTGACAAGCCGTGCAACTCTGTTGTAGTGCAAATATGAAGAAACGTTTTAATAAGAGTCCGTCTCCCCTGCGATGAATACTTCCAACAGTCGACTGTGTGAACTCTAG